TAAATAGTGAATTAAAAGCTCTAAACATCTGAAAACATTGACATTAACTCTGATCTACCTACATGAATGCATCTTCCCACATTTCCTTGGAAATTGTGCCTTATAGATCAAGACAACTGATAAATATTTATATTTAGGAATCGTAATTGAAATGTACCTTTTGGAAAGTTAAGATTTTCTCTCCACCAGTGGGCGCTAAAAACAGGCGTCCTGGACTGACAGAAGCACTTAAAGGGTGACCTTGCATTGCTGTTTATTATTGAATGAAATATTATTCTTTATCAACATATTGCATTTAAAAACTCCCCTCCTGATATGTTAGATAAGCTTATTTCTCATGTTCCTTTTTGTACCTGCATGTAAAAAGAGCAAAGTGAGTGGAGGAAGTAAGATCATGCCTTTGCTGAAAGTGAAAAGTAATTACTGTAATTTAATGCTGTGCTAAAATAAAATAAAAAAAATGATAAATAAATAGAAATCTGAAGTGATCTTTAGCAGAATGATTCATCTGCAGCGTGTTTGATGATGGAAGCTGTGATCAGGTTTCTCCTGGACTCACGTCTGAACTCTGATGTTTGCAGAAGCTCCTGAGCTTTTTGGCGACAAAATTCTTCACCTGAATAAGAGGTTTTTCTACTCCACTGACTCGGAGCTTCAGGACCCGAAGGATTCTGCTTCTGGTGCTGCTGAAGAGGAAGAAAAAAGCTGCACTGCCAGTGAGTTTGTCCCTCAGTCGCCGCAGTTCATCTCCAGCGATCAGGAGCAGAGTAATGCCTCTCTGTTTGCTCTCCTTTCAGGCGAGGATGTTTCTGGACCCGTGTCAGAACGCCTGTCCTACTTCAGAGCGCGCTCAGTTGAGTCCAGTGGAACCAGTGGGACCAGCGCCTCCCAAAAGGCGGAGCTAGAGGGCCTGGAAGGCTCAGCCCAGGCGGCCCGGGCGCGGCTGGCCGAGGAGCAGAAGGTCAGAATCGACGTTCTGATGAGTTAAAGCGGGTCGTAGACGCGGAGCAACTAGACTGTGGCAGAAATAATCAGCCAATTAGCAGCGAAGTAAAAGGCTCTGAATCTTTAGAGCTAAGAAATAATAATAATAATAATAATGATGATTAAACTTTATTGATCTCATACTGGAGAATAGTACCTCTGAATTTAACCCATGGCCTTGGGGGGCAGTGGGCTGCCAGGGTGGGGTTAAGGGTCCTGCTCAGAGCCCCCTAGTGGAGGCTGTGGGGATGGAACCAGGTAACCTTCTCAGGGTCCCACTGCTCTAACCACTAGACCAACACTCCCCATTAATCAAGTTATGAGGAGTTAAATTATCTAATTTAAGTAGATCTAATATAATGAGTTCTACTAAAATGAAACCTGATTCTGGAATTTATGTTCTTTAATTTTAATGAAGGGAAACAGAGAAACGGTTCCAGTTCAGAATCAGCTGAGCAGCAGCATCATTTATTTACCCAGCGAGTCGCCTTTTTTATTATGTTTATTTCATGCTCTGGCCCCTAAAGCATAACGTGGCAGCAGCCAGATTCTATTCAGTTTATTTCTATAGCTCCAATTCACATCATGTCATCTCAGGTC